CCCCCCCCCCCCCGCCCTTACATCTTGCAAGACTGATTCTTTTTCAAGCAAAGTTATCCATCATAGAAATTTGTAAAGCAAGTTCAAAAGATGTGTATATGATGCAACAGAGTAAGTCCATCTAGAATTCCTCCTAAGCATCTTCATGCAAGTGAATCTGAGTAGTGGCTCTACTCCGCCTAATGTGATACAAAGTGGAACTGATTAGCTGACTCTACCATTCACTAGATTGGGCTAATAAATAAATTTAGTCCAACCCACATGCCGGTGTGGAATGCTTGACCTTTGCCAAATTCCCAAGCAAAGGAAAAATGAAGGTTATAATCAAGAGGTGTCTCTGCTGTGTCTTTTGCGAAGGAGCAGAGTTCTTATACTAGCTGATGCGTAAACATAGTTAATCTTTTGAATGGGGGACATGGGGGTTCTAGTTGGGAATCTTCCATCTGGATAGACAAAATCTCTTACTTGCTCTTTTTCTCTGTTGAATTTTGTTTATATTCCTAGGCTGTTTAATCAGGCAGCTCATCTTTTGGTTCAGTTTGTGAAAAATCTTTCCGGTGATTCTGTTTGGTGGAACATGCCTCCTGTTTGTATTGAACATCTATTTTAGTGTTTAGTTGTTTTTAGACAGATGGCCAACAAGTGCTCAATAAAATTTGTTCTCTATTTCTGAAGCCCATGGCCAATCAAAGACGATGCCTATAAGGTGAGTAGGGGTGTAAACAGATCGAATTTGAATCAAATCAGGCAATATCCAAATTCGAATTCAAGTAGAAAATTTGATTCTGAATTTGATTTGATATCGGATGGATATTGAAAATTAATATTTGAATTCAAATTTGATTAAAAATTTGAATATTCAATTCAATTTGAATTCGACCAATTAATTATTTTAGGTAATCAATAAATATAAAATACATACTTTATTTATAAAAAGTATATAAACATATAAATATTTATATAATTTAATTATTATATATGTATATCTAATTTATATAAAACACTTAAATATTTTATATATTATATATACGAATTAAATAATTGATTGAATTCGGATATTTATCAAATTGAATCAGGTCATAGAATCTCAGATTTTTTAATACCATTGACACCCCTAAAAGTGAATATCATATGAAATACACTACCCATTTTGGTAACAGGGGAAATGATTGTACGTTTCAATTCATATTGCAATTGCAAGACCAGGCTCAACGTCTGACACAAATGAAGTTATAGTTTAGTATACCTAGTACTAGTAGGACAAGAGCTTCTGGTATACATGTTACAGTTGTGAGACTGACTTGTCTCAAGCCTTGCTCTTTTAAAAACTATGTTTTCTTGTTATTACATACTATACATGATAAGGAGTTGGGAGTGGAGGCCGAGTGGGGTGCATGTGAGGTTCACTGACCATGCCACAGAGAGCTTGCAATTCCATGGGTTTGATTCTACATTTTCTATATACATTTGGAGGGGTCTTATTGTCTTAAGAATTGGACTCAGAGCTTGCAATCACTTTTTCATGGTGGATGTTAAACTCATATCACCAACATTAAAAACTGTTTACAAGAACAAGGTGTGGCCTCATCATCAACCGTACATATTTGAAGTCAGCTTTAAGTTTTAGCCATCCTATCCTCAACATTCGGTGAAATAGAGAATTACATATGTTGCTGCCAAGGATGGACCGAGAGAAACAAAGTAACTTAACTTCTTTAGACGAGGGCTTATATATCCAAGGGCTGATGTATCCGACCTAAGAACAAGAGAGCATGTCAGAGGCCCCGGGTGTTATCCCAGGGGCGGAGTCGGAGTCCCCGATGGTCAAGTTAGTCGAATGCACAATAGAGGTCGGACGAGGCCTGAGGTGAGAATTCAGACAAGGTCACTCAAGAGCGGCAATGCCAGAGAGAAGTAATTAACAAGATTCCCAGATGATTTGCCTAAAGAGGAATGGCCTCTGTTTATACTTGACCATGGCTGAAGTTAGTTAGCAGCGGACGGCCAGGATTTCATCGGACTGAGGCCATGTGGCACCATCCTAGGCCTTGCCACATGCGCCTACATCAACATGCAACAATTTATTTGGAGTAGAAGGGGACATCGGACTGCATTTTAAAGTATCATGGAGCAAAATCTGTCTCCCCAAATGGGCTGGAGGTTTAGGAATTCGTCGAATGAAATGTTTCAATGATGCACTATTAGCAAAGGTTGGGTGGCACATCTTAATTAACACGGGCATGGTTTTTAAAAACGAACCGGAAATAGAACCGGTTAGGGGACTGGTTTCCGGTTAGACGGTTCAACCATCCGGGTTGAATGGTTCGACCCATGATGTCATAAATAAATTAAAAATAAAAAATATTTATAAATAATAAAAAATAGCATAAAATTAAATAAAAAACAAAAAAATACAGAAAATAAAACTATCTACATAAAAAATAATACAGTACAAAATACATAAAAAAATATGAAAATAAAATACAAAAAATTCAAAAAAAATACAGAAAAATAAATCAAAAAATTGCAAAAAATACAGAAAAAAAAACTCTAGAATGTTAAGTCCTAAAATGCAAAAATCCTTGACCTAAAATCAAGATTCACAGAGATAGATTCCCCTGGCACCAAAATAAAATGGGAGAAATATGAGCATTCACTCTAGAATGTTAGATTGCTATGCAACCAAGATTGATTTGTAAAAGACTTCAATACACATTAATTTTACCTAATTGATCAAAAAATTACACTAAATTTTACTTGGAAGTGATGTAAACTCGCCTGCCATAAAGCCTGGAAGTGTTGCAAATTGCAAAAAACACTAGCCGTCGTCGATTGCCGTTAATTGCGATCGGTCGGTGTGTGTCGTCGTCAAATGCCGGAGGTGCTGGCCGCCGCAGGTGTTTGGTTGGGTGTAAGGGATGGCCGCCGCTGCAAATTCGCCTACTGCAAAGCCTAGAAGTGATGCAAATCGTAAAAAACGTTGGCCGCCGCTGCAAACTCGTTGTCGCCAATCACCTTTAGTCGTAGTCGGTAAGTGTGTGTCACCGTCGAACACCAGAGGTGTTGGCTGCCGCAGGTAGTCGGTTAGGTGCGAGGGATGGCCGCCTCTGCAAACTCGCTTGCCGCAAAGCCTAGAAGTGCTACAAATCGCAAAAAATGTTGGCCGCCGCTGCAAATTCGCTGTCGTCGGTCGCCATTTATCACCGTTGGTCGATGTGTATCGCCGTCGAACGCCGGAGGTGCTGGTCACCACAGGTGGTCGGTTGGGTGTGAGGGAGGAGGGAAGAATGAAAATGGGGTTCTAACCCTACATTCGATTAATTGATTTGGGATGGGGATATTAAAGGAATTTTATTTTTTGATTTTTTATTTTATTTAAATCATTGAAAATAAAAAAGAGAACCCACGAACTGCTACCTAGGTCGAACGGTTTAGTGGTCCGACCGCCCGGGTTAACAGTTTTTTGACTTTTTCAACGCTTTTTTAAGATTTCTGGTTTTTAGTGTAACCGGACCCGGGGGCCTGACCGGTTACCGGTTTTGAAAACCAAGAACACGGGTTCTACTTCGGTGCGAATTCTTAAAGCTAAGCTTTTCCCATATGAGAGTTTCTTGGATAGTGTCCCAAAGAAAAATGATTGTTGGATATGAAAAGGTATCTGTGCGGTTCATTGAGTTTTGGTTTTGGGTTGTTGTAAACGAACTGACGTGGTGACACAATCAGCATTTGGGGTGACCCTTGGGTCCCTAATTTACCTAGTACATGGTGTAGAGACTAGTTGTTTGGGTGCCTGATTTTAGTGCTGCTGATTCAGATTTATTAAATGATAACAAAACCTGGAATGCTGGTTTGTTTCATCAGTACTTGCAAGGTTCAAAGTATCCATACCTATTGGCCGATACATTTCGTGTTGATGGCTTACTGATACGCCCCTCCAGGGATTGTATCGAGTCATTCACTGGTTCATAGGATAGTCGGGCCTTAAATCGACTCCTCTGAACCGGTTTCAAAAATAAATAAATATAACTTAAAAAAAATACCAATACAGGACGATACGCCATACTTTGGACCTTGCTTGATTGGTAGTTAATGAGCACACTTGTTTTTGGAAGTTACAACTATATCCACGCTTACATCTATTTATTTCTATGGAAACCAACTATGGAAGGTCATTCATTCATCTCCTTCTTGTAGCAAAAAAAAAAAAATGTAATATACATACATATAAATTAATAAATAAGCAAACTAAGATGTATTCTTTTATATATAATAAAACAAAATACAAAATAAAAACCTTGTCTGTGTATATGTATGTATATTGTTTAACTACACAGATGACCACTCATGATTTTCAATTCTAACAATTAGGGGTGTTCACTATGTGGTCTACAGTCTAGACCACTAAAATGCACTGAACCAAACTGAAATTAGCGGTTTTGGACGGATTTTTCTAAATTTTAGAAATCAAACAAAACCATAAA